CTTTGTGTATTTAAACGTTAGTTGTACTTTTTTGTTGTGTGGCGCTGTTATAAGTTATAAACTAGAGTGCAGCGCCACACTGTCCTTGTTATGTTTTGATGTCTTGATGGATTAAAAAAAAACTGGTTAGGGCGGGCGGGAAAGAGCTCACAGGAAAGCCCGCCCCTAAGACTGGACACCAGGCTAGCTAGGTACCAGGTTACAGCCAAGCGCCTGTAACCACCTGTTGTTGTCGAGTTGCGCCGTGCTGCGACCTGAGCTGATTGATTTTACCCGGTATATCCTGTGTTAATAGTCAACCTGTCAGCTCAGTACAAACAACAGCGAGACGTGGCGCGTCTGAGAAAACTTCAAGCAGATGTAAGGTCTGGCAGCAAAAATCGTTATGGTAGGAAGTTACTGGGAACTGGCCATCTAGAGAGAGTCCTCAGCCGTCCAGAAAAATGGCAAATGGCAATCGTCTGGTAAATTGATACTGCCTGGCCTGTCTTTGCAGCCACCGTACTAACCGTAGCAAGTATCTAATCCAGCTCAGAAAAGAACAAGAAACAGTCATGTCTTAAAGTATCAGATTTGTCAACCATACCAAGCTTGAAAGTTGAGGTGTTCAAAAACTCGTATTTGCCAAGAATTTACTATCGTTGACTTTGAAAACCCAGTTTTGCGGCTAGCCCTAGCTGATATTGCATTCGATGCCTTTAAAACTTATCCAGTTATTGCTATCGGCGCTTTTCTCCCTTGACCACGAAAACCCACCCAGGCGAAGAAGAAAAATCTGTCACACAGTTGTGTCAGATTTGTACTGCTCACTCATTCCACACTCATTCCATTGACGTCACAGGCAAACAATACGTCACCTCAGAATGCCATGTTTGGACCACCTGATAGCCTGAACAACTAAATCGATTCTGTCGGGAGATCGCTGGTCACGGTAGAGCACGTTAAATCGTGTGTTAACAAAAATACCTGCCAATTTGATGGAGAAACAGCGTCTAAGGTGGCCCGAGTGAGTACATGGTAGTTCTGACTGAGTTAGTAGGAGGGAGGGAGACGTTTGGACAGTTTAATTACAAGACGTACCAAGGAGGAAACCAAGTGGCTACGGACGCGGCAACAAGTCACCAAGAGTTAGACGCGACCCAACAAGTAGGGTGAAGACCTTTCGGCCGCCGGTAGGACATTTTGTCGACGTTCCATTCTAAATGGCGAGGAAGAAAAGAGAACTTATTTGCCGGTCTTTTAAAGGATCGTGACAAGGAAGGATGCTCAGAGTGCTGAAACAAGACGGTGAGCCAAAAAGAGACACTCTAGTCATCTCTGCTTGTGGCACATACTACGGAAAATTCGCCTTTTGCCAGTAGCATAGTTTAAGCTATTTCTCTAAGAACTTTTAAGCTCTTTTGAACCAAGGCACGGGAGTTGTACTCAGTCTCAACCCACAAACTCTTAGATTGAAACTAATCCATAGCTTGATTGATAGGGGACAAAAATCGCCATCAAACATGACAACGACTGGATACCATTTCGACGAGAGGTTCATCCTTCATGTAGCGTCGCTTTTTAACAGAAGTGTGGAACAGGTGGAGAGGGATCTCCTGTCGCGGTTCAACCTGACCTGGCAGCCGAAGATCAAGAGCCTCCCTCCATCCTTCACCGTCTCCGTCTGTTCTCTCTACGCCATCATTTTCGTCATGTCCCTGATAGGGAACAGTATGGTTATCTATGCCGTCGCGAGTAACAGAAAAATGCGGTCCATAACGAATGTGTTCCTGGTGTCGCTTGCCGTGAGCGATCTGCTCATCACGGTGGTGAGTATGCCGTGGAACGTGCTGCACGCCCTGGACGACCACGCCTGGACGTACGGGGACTTCATGTGCCGCGTGCCGCAGTTCGTACAAGTGGTCTCCGTCACGGCGAGCCTGATGACGTTGACGTGCATCGCCGTGGACAGGTTTGTTTGTTTGTTTGTTACCTCCATGAAAAATGGAGGTATTGTTTTTGGCGCGTCTGTGTGTGTGTGTTTCCGAATCTAGAAAACCATAAATTAAACTAGATTATGCTAATTACGACCTTACTTCCATAGTCAATGAGACAAATAAAAAACATGTACAAGAACTCAATGACATATATTTCATGGAGGTATGTGATCTACGAATTCTTGTTTCTTTTGTTTTTTATGCTCCAACATGTAATCAAAAGACGTGGTGACCGCACACTTTTTCAACTTATATTAATGCCGCCACGAACACATGGGACAATACAATACTCGTTTTCATCACCTGAGCGAAGTGAGGAAAGTCGTGTAAAGTCGTGTAAAGTGCCTTTCCCAAAGGCACAAGATCGGTGGCATGTCAGGACTCGAACCCAGGACCTCTTGGTTCCGAGTCGAGCACTCTGCCGCTAAGCCACACGACCCCCCCCCGGGATTGTTTGTTTGTTTATTTGTTTATTTCAGTAGCTTGTTTATTTCACATTCCTGAAGACCCTTAGGAAAACCTGTCTGCCCCGGATGCCCCAGTTTCTGTGACACCGGGGCTCGTTCACTATACACTCAGGGGAGGGGAGTGTACCAAGGCTTCCTCAAAATCCTGAAGTCATGGCAGTGCCATGCAAACAATAACCCTAACAGCAACCACCGTCGCCTTGGCAATGTATGTTTTCATCGCCAGTCTTGTTCTGTATCTGTATCAGTGTAGCTGGTATAACCGCCCTTCGGCGTAACACACCAGCTTAGCAGGCACGCGGCGCGGCGGCAGCTAGCTATATCACACCGAACGACTTGTTACACTCAATCTTTGCACATTTAATTGCTTGAAGTTGTTTAAAGCTTTCTAGTGATGATGCCCCAACTGTGATTGGTGGCAACGAGTTCCAGTTTACGATAGTTCTGGGGAAATACGATCTTTTTTAAACACCTCAATTCTTGATTTTTGATATTTGAAGGCATGACTGTTTCTTGTTGTTTTGATGTGACAGGTACATCGCCATCCTGCACCTTCTCAACTCCGGCGTGCGATTCTCTAAAGGCGCGGTCACATTTCCCAACCCGGGGCCCGGCCGGACAGTGGTTTGAAACGAAATTTATGATATAAGACAGCAAAACAGAATGAAAGTTTTAGAAAATTAACCATGAGCACTATTTGTATATGCTCTTAATACAAATTGTTTATTTTTCGTTCATACAAACAACCCGGTCGGGCCCCGGCTTGGAAATGTGACCGTGCCCTAACCTGCTATATGTCTCAGCTGAGAGATCAGAGGTCAGGAATTTCTACAAAGGTATATTCAAAAGGTTTACCACCATGAGTTTATTGATGAGTTTTTGTATCTATGTGACAGGTACATCGCCATTCTGCACCCTCTCAACTCCGGCGTGCGCCTTTCTATCCTGCTATGTGTCTGAGAGATCAAAAGTAAGGAATTTCTACAGAGGTACATTCAAAAGGTTTATCACCATGAGTTTATTGATGAGTTTTTGTTTTGATGTGACAGGTACATCGCCATTCTGCACCCTCTCAACTCCGGCGTGCGATTCTCCATCCTGCGGGTGTCCGTGACGCTTCTCTGCGTCTGGGTGTTCGCCATCACGTTCGGCATCCCCCTGCTCGTCTTCATCGACGTCGTCACGCGACGCAAGCGGACGCCCATCCCGAACCCTCTCGGCATAGACATCTTCAAGCACATCTACTACCAGCACGAGTGGAAGGTCTGCACCGAAGCCTGGCCCAACCCGAACGGCCATTTCGTCTACTCGGTCTGCCTACTGATCGTGCTGTACACGATGCCCCTGCTTGTGATGACTTGCCTGTACGGTCGTGTCGCACACTATCTCTGGGTGCGGCAGCCCATCGGGGACAACTTGGCGCAGCCCCGGAACGCCGTAGCCTGGGAGCAGTCCCGCAAGACCAGGCGAGTCATCCGCATGCTGGTTTCCATCATCGGGTCCTTCGCTATCTGCTGGGGGCCGTTCTTCGTCATACAGGTTTGTTTGTTTGTTTGTTTATTAATATCCATTAGTGTTGACAATACATCCACTAAACATTTTGAATATACTTCTGTAGAAATTTCATCTCAATTTAACCCCGCATTTGAAAATTCTGGCTAACAATTTATAATTGTATAAAGACTTTTGTTGTACCTTTATGGCCCACTGGGCTAAGCACAGGTCACATGCTAACAAAGTACTAGTGCATCAATGTAAATATTAAGTTAACGGTCGATGGAAAAAGGTGATCTATTGGTTTCATACTAGTCCCGCACACATAGGGGTGATATTTGACCCAAATCTGTGTTCACGTTTGATGACTGCCTATTCCACCAGGAGGCAGCGGTGACGTAGTGTGTCCACTTACTCTAGTACATGTACATGTATGTCTTTCGGATACAGTTGGTTTATCGAGGACTGTAAGGAACATACATTTTTCTGAACTATTGAGATACTTATAATGTCCTACAGGTGGTGAAGACGGCGTACATCCCCACCGTGTTCATTCAGCTCCTGGCCCACGCCAACTGCGCCATCAACCCCGTCATCTACGCGCTTCTGAGCGAGAAGTTCCGCGACAACCTGCGCTGCTGCTCCGCCTGCGTCAAACTCCGACAGCGCCGCAGCCGCATGAGCCTGCTCAACACCGGCAACACCGAGGAAGTCGACATGCGGACGCGCTCGTCTTCCATCAACGCGAAGCAGGCGACCTGGGGCCGGCAGGGGACGTCGTCCCAGCCGCAGACGGCCAACCCTAACCTCAGCGACATCCACGTGTCGACGTTCTCGACAGGCGACGTCCCGCCCGTCATCGAGTCGTTTCGGTCCAGCTACCCGAAGCTGCCGGCTATTCAGCCCGGGCACATGCCTGTGTACATCGGGCCCCATACAGGCATGGTTAAAGAGATAAACGACACGCCAGCTTAAGCTATAGCCTCTATCAGGCTTCGGGAGGCGGCTGGAAAGGGTAGAAATTGGCCAAAATAGAGAGATAACATGCCAGGGGAGATGGTCCGCTGTAAAATACAATTTCCTGCGTTTTTAGAGGGTTTCAAAGAAAAGAAATCAGAGATAATTTTTTTCAATGACTAAGTGAGAAGTTTTCCTACGATTCCAGCCTTGCTGGTGACGCGAATCAGTCCATGCATCTTTTAAAGAAAAATCTTGGACCTTTAGATAAAAAGTGGACCAAAAAGTGGACCTTTGCGCCTTGTAGAGGGGTTCGTCCGACCCCCCCCCCGGCTACGGGCATGGACACAGAGCAATCAGAACTTATAAGGAGGTTATACTATAGGACGAGTGACCCGACAATGGTTGTTAGTGGCCTGCATAGATAATGAGAGGATCGATAAAGATAGTGACATGCATATAACCTTAAAAATTATCAACATGAGAAAACATTCCAAAGTTAGATAAGTAAGTTTGTTGTTGAGTTTATGTACATCCAAAAGTAATTTCTTTGCAATTATACTTGAGTAATTATCATCACATTATGCAAATATCAAATTTGATTTGCAGTGGATGTTCTGTTCGTCAAGTGGTAGAGTGTACGTCGTGTTTTTCGCCTTTTTACTGAGTTTTTTTTACTTGGATTAAACTTGTAGAAAACGCAGATTTGTGTTGTGATGTATGAAAATATGAATATATTCCTCGATGTAGACACTGTTCTTGACTCTGAACTAATGTGCTATTTAGCACAAACAAACGCCGTTCAGAAATTCCTTCTTTGTAAACCGTTTAGTGCTCTAGCTACGCAACACGTCTGTTCTGGTTGAGTTTATACTTGAATACTGTCGAGTCCATTAGAGGGGACTAGTTTAACACAAACACTGCCATTTGTTGAACTTGATAAATTACGTACAGCCTGGCCTGTTTGGGTAAGGAGTTGATCATACTTCATGAACGTCTCACGTATTGAACAGATGAAATAGGTAATATACATGTTTGTAATACAAACAGCTCTAAATCTACTCTAATACAGAAGTTCGGCTTCTTCTCGTTTCTTTGTGATGTTAAAAATATAATTTGAAATGGGTTTGTATAATACAGGATGATCAAAGCGCATAAGAAAGATAAGTTTTTTAATATTAGGCAAGTATTGGAAGTATGGAAACGTACTTGTAATATATCTAAAAAGATCATTTCTTTCATTACTATATAAACTACAATCAATAACAAAGTGGGCTTCGTCTTCTACTTTGTTTGAGCTACAAAATTGGCAAATCCTTTGCTCCAGAGGTGTAGGGCATGAATGTACAATAAAGGTTATTATCATTATTACAAAGGGAGGTTTACATGGATGACATCCGCGCGTGAATTTTCGTCTGCCACCCCCTCCCCAATAAATTTTCGAGCATAATGTACGGGTAGGTCATGTACAGTTGTTTGGTGGTTTGTATATTACGTACATGTTTGATAAATCGCTTTGAATGTATCATTCTCTTCAGGCAACTTAAAATAGAATAAAACTCTTAGTTATCAAATATTTCATCAACGTTGGAAGTTTCCAACACCGTAGTTACTTCGTCCGTCAGTCCTGGGATTTGGTAATTACTGTATTGACGTCAACAATGGATTGTCTTACAGTGTTTTCTTTTGGTTGTACCAATCGCGATTCCATGGTACATAGTATACTCGTGTGTGACCGAGTAAGGTTTTGTTTTTCACTTCATGGTGGGCTACCGCTGTTACCAATGGAAATACCCCGAGTATGATATTCCTTCAATTTAACTCTAAATTACCAAAAGTCATGACAATCCGTCAACGGTTCTTGAGTTCTTCTACGTCGAAGATTTTTCAACAAACGGTCATGCAGTTCCAAAACAAGCCGCTAGTGGGCCCAAACTCATGAAACTTCTTTCCTTGCCCAAGAGCCATCCAAAATTTATGACCCTAGCATGTCCAGATCATGAGATATCAAAACTGGAAGTTCTGCTGCAGTACCAACAAAAGCCGCCAGAGGGTCCAAAATCTAATCATTTCTAGGTCTAATCAAGACCTACCCACCTACCACGTTTGCATATGAAGCTTTTTGAGTTATGATGTTCACAAACAGACAAACAGACGGAAGAACGCTACTGAAAACATACCTTCTTGGCGAAGGTAATACTAAGTAATTTCACAAGAGGTCGCTTGTAGCTGCCTTGATGTGTAAGCCAATCAGAAAAATGCTTTTGCTTCCTCCATGTGACGTCACCTTGGGGTATTTTAGACGCCCATCCCACCAGAAAAACCAGTATGAATTTGGGTGCAGGTGACCTTCACGGGTTTTATAACAAGTCACGGTAGCAAGCCTCGACTCTTTT